GCCCTTGGTGTGTCATTCCTGCCGCGAAGCCCTTGACCTTGGTGTCCTTAGGACCTGTCTCACCCTCGGGACATTGAGTCTGTTTGCTCCTGGGAGAAAAGATAAGGACAGAAAGAATATTGAACTTGGGGGCTGGAGACCAGATTATCTTCTTATTTTCCATTTTGCTTTTTAAAAAAAGCATTATTTTATTTCACAGGTGCCTAAGCCAAGCTCAGATGGCTCTTTGTTAGGATTTTCTTGGTTCAAATGTCACAGGTTTGCTGAGAAAAATCTAATGGAAAGCCGAGTGTGGTTCACAGTTGGCCCAAGGCAGTGACTTCTAATTTAATTCTCTAAAACATTTCATTATACCAGTGTCAGCTAGATTTGGGTCCATTCTCAAGACACTTAAGATTTCCATCTCATCTTGTTTCATAAAAATATTCTTGAGAGGTAGAGGTCAGTCATTTATTATGATCATCTGGGGAGGGGAGAATATATGGGCAGGTTTCTTATTTTCTCCATTTCTTCATAATAATAATAATAACAATAATAATAATAACAATAATTTAATCAGGGCTGGAGAGTTGGCCCAGCATTTAAGAGCACTTCGAGAAAACCAGACTTCAGCTCCCAGCACCCATGTTGGACAGCTCACAAGCTTCAGCAACTCCAGCTTGAGAAGGTTTGGTGCCCTCTACTCTACCACACCTCCACAAATACCTACACTCACATGTATACCCACACAGAGTCACACAGACAGACAGACAAACAAGACAGGGCAGGCAGGCAGGCACGCACGCACGCATGTGCGCATGCACACACACACACACACACACACACATAAAAATAAATCTTTAAAAAAATGTGCTTTTCCATCTGTCTGCTTTCTGGTTGTTGAGTCCACGGAGAAAATCATCTTACTGCAAACTTGATGCCTTTTCTCCAGGACAGAGGGTTTTGTGGTCTGCAGATAACCTGGGAAGACAACATCTTCAGTTATCTGGCATTGGCTTAGCAGCTTCTTAGAACTGGGAAGGGTGCTAGACTCTATGGGTAGCAGGAATACAAGTGGTCCCCAGAGCTTACAGTCCACAGAACAGGATAGACAGACTTGAAAACCAGACAGCAGGCGAAAATGGCTGGGGAATGCTCTGTGGAGCACAGCAGAAAATGGGAAGGAGGCATTGACCATGACACCCAGGTGCTAGCTGGTTCATGACCTTGAGGAAGTGACAGATCTACTCTGAGCCTCAGTTTCCTCAACCAACAAGTAAGACAGAAAGATAGTTTCTATTTTTCTTTGAAATTTTAGTTTGTTTATAGCTATTGTGTGTGTCCACAATGCATGCATATACCTGAGTACATGTGTGTGTGCTAACACACAGGCATGTGGTTCTGCGGACAACTTTGAGAACCAGTTCTCTCCTCTACTGTTGTTTCCAAGGTCAAACTCAAGTCTTCAGGCTCTCATGGGAAGTTTTTTACTTGCTGAGATATCTCACTAGTTCACGTTATTGTTTTTAAAAGTATTCTAAAAATTAGGATGAAGTTACATCATATCACTTAACTGCAAGGTTTGAGTTCTGAAGATCTGTCATCCAGCACGTAGGCTGTAGTTAACATGCTGTTCAGCATGTTGGCCGCAGTCAACATGCCATTCACTGTGTGGCCTGCAATCCAGATGCGGTCTAGTGTATGGGCCAGTCAACATGCTATACAGCATGTGGGCCGAAGTCAACACACCTTACAGCGTGTGGCCTGCAGTAAGCATGCTTTCCAGCATGTGGGCTGCAGTCAACATGCCGTCCAGTATGTAGGCTGCAATCAGCATGCCATCCAGCATGTGGTCAGAAATCAAGATGCTGGCATCCAGCATATGGGTCGAAGTCAATACACTGTACAGCATGTGGCCTGCAATCAGCATGCTGTTCAGCGTGTTGGCCTCAGATTGAAAGGTGCAGAGCAGATTTTAAATGTTCTCATTCTCCCCCTAAAAAGGTGAGGTGATGGATGCTCATTACCTTCATTAACCATTCCACATAAATTAACATATCCTGCTGTACCCCGTAAATATATACAGTTGGAATAACCAAAACAAATTGTGTGGACCTGTCTGAGACAACCAGCTCTGAGGGTGACTCTCAGAGAACACTGATCAGGATGAATGGGGTAGCCAATCAGATGACCTCGAAAAGGAGGGTGAGCTCTGTTATGGGGGCTTGTCAAGGAAGAGAGGACTGGAGCAGAATTTAAAGACTCAGGACTGGGAGAATGGTTGAGTCACCTCCTAGAAGATGAATTATCATTATGAAGCTGAGAAGAACAAGTGGTCTATTCAGTGAGCAGATTTGTCCCGGAAGAAGGGACAGGAGTGCTGACACCAGAGTAGAGTCTTGAATGTTAGTAGGAGTATGGGTACATCAGGACTCTCTGGGTCCTGGAGGTCACCTGAACTAACCTTCCATTCTACAGACAGAACTGCTATAGTTTGGGTGTGAAATATCCCACAAAGGGCCACGTGATAGAGGCTCAAGAGGTAATGGAACCATGAGGTGGTGGATCATAGGGCAAGGAAGTTAGTTAGTTGGAGGCCACTAGATCCTGGCCCCCACCCCTTCTCTCTCTTTGTTGCCCTCATCTTGCCTGAATGTTCAGATTCATCTCAGGCCCAAAAGGCATGAAGCCAACTGACCATAGGGCGAAACTTCTGAAACCATGTGCCAACATAAAACTTTCCTATTTTTAAATAAAATCGATTATCTCGGGTATTTTGTTACAGTAACGGAAAGATGGTAAAATAGAAAGTAGAGATTGAGAAAGCTAACCCAAGGCTACAACAGCCCTAAGTCAGACAAACAGATTAGTCACATTCCATGATGCGAATGTGGTCAATTCTGTACATAATAGCCTCGGTTTACTTCCCCTGGGTAGTACTTTCATAAAGCACTTTGGACCCTCAGGATCTCAGTAAGAGTCCCCATGGCTGAAGAGAGCAGCATCAGGACCATGCGGAGGGCTCATCGGTGGGTGTGCAATGCATAAGCCTTATACCTGGCACTTGTTTTTAAGACAGGATCTCAAATATCTCAATCTGGTCTCCAACTCACTCTATAGCCAAGGCTAGCCCTTTCCTCCTGAGCCTCCTTGCCTCCACCTCACAGGTATTGTGATTGCAGGTGTGTGCCACTATGCCTGACTGCACTTGGAACTTAAGTAAGACTCTCTTATTTAATTAGTTAATTAATTGATTAATAAAAAAATCCTCCAGTTTTCTTTTGCAGTTTTCTTCAGCACACCTTTGTGATTTGGGGAAGAGCTGAGGCTCTGTAGGTTTTCAAGTTACAAGATAACATCATTTAAAACCATTTTCAGAAGCCATATTCTGGCTGTTCTTAGAAACAGTGAAAGCAAGAAATGGGGCTGAAACCCTTGTGGGAGACACTTGGAAAAATCCCTACATTTTGCCACATTTTCCATCTTAAAGGGCTATAATCTCCTTAAAACACCCAAGCTGTGACGTTATAGGCAAACATTGTGCTGGTGCAGAAATAAGAAGTAATTGCTTGAGACACCTGGGGAACCTATTACTTTCTGAGTTAATGTCTAGACTCCCCTGCTCCATTGTCCCGGACAGGTTAAAGTTTAAAAAGCGTCCGGTTGCTCTGCTGTCTTTCCAATCTCCACTGTGACTGTTAGGTGACGTGACAGGAGAGAGGGCGGTGGAAAGGGAAAGTCACAACGCAGGCTGGAAGGCTGGAGGAATGAGCATGGTTTGAATAACAGCATTCGCCAGGGGTCTACAGCGGGGTTGCTGACTTTCTGTACCCAGAGGCCTTGCAGAGGCCTCAGCTGACTGCCAAGGACTAGCTGACATTACACGCAAGCCCCACAACACTGAACTCCTAAGATAGGGCATCTTCATAAGAAATGTCACACTTAGAGGGGCAGCTAAGTCAGACAAATAAGTTAGTCACTCATTCTGTCTTGCTGGGGGTTCTTTTTTTTCCCCCCTTTGGGGTTTTTTCAAACAGCACCTCACTGTAAAGCCTAGGTTGACATCATCCAGACTGGACCAGACTGGCCTTAAACTCATTTTCCTCCTTCCCTGGCCTCTTGAGTGATGGGTTTCCAGACACACACCATTGTGTCTGGCTTATGCTGCTGGGAATACAGAGCAGTCTTTACAAAGAACAAATATGTGTGGAAAGGGTTTGCAATATGTGTATATTTGCTTATTCATAGTACATATATGCTTACCATATACATGGACATACATGTGTGTATGTGATTGTGTTCATGTTTACATGCCTCTCTATGTAAAGGTATATTTGTATATATACATGTGTAAGCTTGTATATGTGTGTATGTGTATACTCTGTTTAATTTAATCCTAAGGACATCCCTGTGAGACAGACACTTGATATATGTTCTAGTTTATTTTCTGTTGTTCTGATAACACTATGACCAAAAGCAACTTGGGAAGGGAAAAGTTTATTTCAGCTTAAAGGTTACAGTCCATTATTGAGGGAAATTGAGGCAGGGACTCACACAAGAACTGAAGCAGAAACCATGGAGGGATGCTGCCTACTGGCTTGCTCCCTGACTCATGCTTAACTCCCTTTCTTACATACCCCAGGACCATTTGCCCAAGGACAGTACCACCCACATCAGTCATCGGTCCCTCACAGAAGGTCCCCCTTCCCAGGTGACCAGCACAGCATGCGTCACAGGTTAGGAAACTGACGTAGAGTCAGAGACCACGTAAATAACAAAGCAAAGCTGATTCCATGCCAGGCCTATAGAAGTCACCGTACAGCCTGCCTGAGCAAAGAGTAAGGAGGTCAGAGAGCAGATCGTGGAGGGTTCAGAAAAGAGGGTGTCAAGTTAGTGTGAACCACTGCATCTCCACGGAGGTCAGAGAAAAAAGCCAGCTGCGCATACCCCAGTGAGTGAACAGCCTCCTGACCCAGTGCCTCCTCGCAGACGTGAAGCACTCCCCCTCTGCTCCCTTGCAGCTTTTTGTGAGGGAACCCGAAAAGAGGCTGGGTGTGCGAGGAGACATCCGCCAGCATCCTTTGTTCCGAGAGATCAACTGGGAAGAACTTGAAAGGAAGGAGATTGACCCGCCCTTCAGGCCAAAAGTGGTAAGGACTCTCCCACTGGACGGTGTGGCTTCAGCCCATCTCCTTTTGTCACAGGCTGTCACCTGCCCCAGCCCCACCCTCGGGAGGGACATGCTCGATCCACACCATTTGACTGGATCAGAGGTTGGCAGCGGGGATCCCTTTGCCTGTCATTTTTAAACTGTGTCATTGGAATTCACCTAGGGGAAGAATAAACTGCAGAACGTTCCCAAGTTGAACGTCTGTTGCTGAGAGGGATGGTCAGGAGATGGGGCTTTGCGTGAGGCCCTTATATTCTTAGTGATCACAGTCCTGGTGACTGAAACCTGTACAATGTAATTCTTTCATGTGAAATTAATTATTCCAATAAAAGAATGGATGACTCAAGAGATTTGGACCCACTGGGTGGTGCACACACTACAGCCTACATAAGCAAAGTTAAGATAACGAAGTTGACTAATTTTCTTCACCCCCCCCCTTTTTTTTCTTTAAACTGCGACCAAGAAATCACCGTACGACTGTAGCAATTTCGACAAGGAATTCCTAAGTGAGAAACCCCGGCTGTCATTCGCCGACAGAGCACTCATCAACAGCATGGACCAGAACATGTTCAGAAACTTTTCCTTCATTAACCCAGGGATGGAGACTTTTGTTTGCTCCTGAACCTCACCCCTCCCCAGACCAGAAAGGATTTGCCTTCTCTCTGGGAACTGGTTTGAATAACACTTCTGGGGGTCTCTTTTTCAAGTTGGAAAAGAAAAGAAACACTCAACAGCAAAGGCGGGGAGACTTTCGATCTCCTCACATGACTCGTGACCTGTAGCAGAAACCAAGTCTACTTCACTAATAACATCACCTGCTATAGCTCCTGGCATCTTTCCCAGCAGCCCTTGAGGTTAGATCGCTACTAACTCTAGTTGTTTACTGGAAAGATGGCTCCTGATAATGTGAAAGATTCAAAACCTAATTCTGCCGTGCCCTGGACAGCAATTGCTGGTTGGTGATGAACCAAGGTGCAAATGGAACCTGTTTCTCAAGACTGGAACAGCAGATCGCTCCTTGTAGAAGTGGATCCCACTCAACCGCAGAGAAGGAGCCACTAACCCACGTTGTTCTGTGCATGTCTGCAGAAATGTAAATGGCAGAAGGGAAGGAAAGGGGAAGCCCTGAGCGGGTTGTCATGGGATTCTCTCCAATAAACACAGCTTGGAACTTGAGATTTACAAATCTGTTCATTCTGGCTAACCCTGACATTCATAAAACAGAGGAGAGTCAGTGACAATGAGCAGAGCTCATGGCACCAGCTTTGGGGAAGGGTATGTTGCCTGTGGGGAGCATCTTGTTCTCACAGAAGTAAATGCAAGTGACAAAGATGGGATCTTTTGCTGCCGCCCATCCAACATGGCCTTCCCTCTGCTCTCAGCTGATCTCTTTATCAACATAGTCATTCATTCCCATCTCCCCAGCAGACAAGAAATAAATGCATGATTCTTCTGAGATAAAGAAAACCAATCCCTTATCGTGTTGTTCCTGGTGATTTGATGACAAATAAGCCCCTCTCTAGGTGTCCTGTGAGATAAACGACCCGTGCATGCTATTTGCAGCAGTCAGTCCTGCTGGATTAGAGTGCTAACTATACACTGAAAGTAATTGTGCTCTTTGTATATTTTGATGAGATGTTGTGACAATAACAAAGAAGTGGTTGTGTAAAATGGAATAAAAGAAGAAGAAAGAAAAAGATGCCTCTTGATGGTTTGATTCTCTACTATGTCCCTCAAAGACATTCTTCCACCATGGTGACCATCAGAATGTAGCCAGTGTTGGATCTGCTTTAAAACTGAGGAACTGAGAAAAAAGAGATGCTCAGAGGGGTGAGACATTCAGGAAAATAAATCATCATTGCAATACGCTCCTCTTTCCTCTCCCCTGAAAGATTTCCTGATGGAGGGATCTACACAGGCTGCCTGCAGACCCTGCTGGGCCTCACTTCCTCCAGCGGCAACTTCTATCCCTGGTGGATTGCTCTCCTTCCTCATTCACCTTCATGCAGCAGTTTGTATAAGAACAATACTCCGGTCCAGCCTGCCTTCTGGAATTTTCTGATGACATTTTCCTGCATTCTCTCTTGCTTGCCCCTCTGTTGACTTCTTGTCCTTCCTCCCAAGCTAAATCCCTCAGAACACCCCTCCCCACCCTTGCCTTGTTCGCCCCTTGTAATCTCCTTTCCCTCCTGCGGCCACTCCATGCAGACAGTCACAAATCTAATCTCCAGCTAAAGCCCCTCTGCTAGCAGACTGCATTAACCCAACATGTCCAGAACACATTCATTCCATGATTAGGAAATAGTTCTGCCTTATACTTCCTATTTCTATGGATGCTCCCCGCACCATAGCCTCTATTAGCTGGACCCAGAATCAGAATTATCATTAGCAATCCTTTCTCGCCTTCAAACTTCCTAGATTTTTACTTTCAGACCAAATCCTCTGTTCACAATCCTTTGTATAGTGTGATGGTTAGCGCTGTCAACTTGATGGGTTTAGCATTGCCATGGAAACAAACCTCCACCCTCCTCTGAGAGTTTCCACAGTTCAGGTTTTCTTGATTTGGCGAAATGAGGTGGGAACACGCAGCATTTACTAGGTTGGGCTCTCTGAAAAGGAGAGAAATCAGAAACAAAGATCTTCTTTTTTTCTTTTCCCAAATGAAAATTAACATCACATGGCAAGCACACATGTTGAAAAATCTATATAACACTCCCTGACTGAGCCCCCATTGACAAAGTTCCTGGACTTCCTCTTTGCCTTGAGCCCGATTGCAGCATCCAAGTTTCTCAGCATGGTGCAGACACATGAATGAGACCAGCTCTGTCTCCCTGGTACTATTTTATTTGCCTCCCATGCCCCATTCCCACTTGTCCAAATCCCCCTTGTCTCTTGGATGGAGATCAAATGGCTGGCCCACCACGTTGCATCCTCCACCTTAGCTCTCTAAGCTCTCCCATCATCCGCTGCTCCCTTTGGTACATTTATCATTTTTCTGGTGAGCTGTAAACCCCCAGTGGGAAAGATCTCTGTCCAATTTATCTGTGCATGTTCCATAGCTCCTTTTTCATTAGTGCTTAAAGAGCTGCCAGGTGAAGGAATAAATAAGCAAATAGGTTTTATGGCTCTAGTGTATATGTGTACCACGTTTCCCCTTACCCATTCATCCCGAGATGATAGGCATCCAGGCTTACTCCATACTCGACTACTGTGAATGCCACGATAACCATGGGTGTTCAAATATCTCTACTGTAGATCAACTCATTTGGCTATATTGTAGCCTCTCGCTTTCTACAGGACTAAAGCTCCAATTGCAAAGGAAGCAGTGGCCTCCACATTCAGAACCTGCCTTCCCTCTCTGGCTTCATTTTCCAGCCTTTGTCCACTCGCTTCCTAATTTTCAGACCCTGAAATTCTCACAAAATGCCCTGCGCCATGGTGACGTCAGGCCCTTGCTTCCACTGACGGCCATGTCTGGGTCCGTGGTCCCGCTGCAGCTGAGATCTGTGATTGTGTCCACGGTCTGTGTTAACACAGGGGTCATTAGAACCATGCTGTGTTGAGCCAGCCCTACGTGTCTCTGGCCCTGCCTCTTGCAAGATACTATGCAAGAGAATTGCAGCCACCCCTCAGGGAAGAGCTGGCACCTGCACTAGGGAAAAAGAGCCCCATCTCTCACCACAGACATGCACCCCACCTGGGCAACACATGAGGACTGACCCTGTTGTCAGGAACACAGGTGAGCTGGCCCTGAAGTCATGAGAGTGGCAGAGCTAACCCCCCCCCGTCTGTCTGCCATGCAGCATGGGTGGGGGGATGTAGCATGAGGGGATCCTGCTTGTTTGTGTTTTCTGTCCCACCCGGTTCCCCCAGCCTGTTTAGCCCCAATGAAAATCAATCACACAGATCTCTATAAATTATAAAGCTGATTGGCCCATTAGGTCAGGCTACTTATTAGCTAACTCTCACATCTTGATTAACCCATTTTTCTGATCTATTTTAGCCATGTGGCTCAGTACCTTTTTCAGTGGGGCAGCTCACATCCTGCTGCTTCGGTGATCTGGGCAGGAGTGGGAGGAATCAACTTCCTGCTCCCCAGAATTCTCCTGCTCTCCTTGCATCATTTCCACTTCCTGTCTGGTTTTCCCACCTATACCTCCTGCCCGGCCAATCAGCGTTTATTTAAAACATGATTGACAGAAGACAGACAATTCTCCCGCACCAGGGGAAGATGTCCTTCCCTCTCTGTCCCTCTCTACCTGTGCCAGGTGAGAGCTGGCCCTGGGGTCATAAGAGTGAGAGAAGAACTAGCCCTGCCCCTTATCAAACTGCAGCGCACCCTGCCTGGGCAACACACTAGAGCTGACCCTGTTGTTGGGGGTGCAGGGGAGCCAGCCCTAAGGACAGGAGAACAGGAGAGCTGACCCCACCTCCCCCTCTTATGTACCCTGCAGCAATCAAGAAAGAGAGCCCTGCACCTTGCCTGAGCAAGACAGTAGAGCTGGCCCTGGTGGTTTAAGTGTGGGTGGGCCGGGTATTAGGACCTGAGCACAGGAGAACTAGCCCCGCTCCCTGCTGCAGGCTGTATTGGGTGAGCTAACTAAGGCACTGCTGAGCTTGCCCAGGTAGTGGCAATGAGGGAAAGCTGGAGGTCTGATTCAGCTATCACCCAGGCCCAGAACCAAGGCTAGGAGCTAGCCCTCCCAACATCTACCTCATTTATGAACTATTGGAGCACGAGAAGGGACCAGATCTGTCAATCCAAAACAGCAGGCTTGCCATGACACAGGACAACAGGATATCAAAGAGGAGACCCAATCAGAGCCCATTATCAGTGCTGTAGCAGAAGTCAAAAGCCTTCACCCAGACCAATGACTCCAATGACTCATAGCAATGAACATGTGCAAGTAAAGACAAATGCACTAAAGGGTGAACTGTGGAACTCAGCAGGCCATGCGACCACTTTCACAACAAAAATTCTTCTTCCTTTTTTGCTTGTTTGTTTGTTTGATCTTTGGTTTTTCTTTTAAATTTTGTTTTGTTTTAGGGGCATTTGCAAGGGAGGAGGGAGAATTTGAGGGGACTGGGAGATGAGTGGGATTGGAATGCCTGATGCAAAATTCAATCAATAAAAGTTAAAAGAATTTTTAAAAGGAAGGAAGAGAGAGGAAGGAAAGAAAGAAGGAGGGAGGGGGAAGGAGGAAGAGGAGAAAAGGAGGGAGGGAAGAAGCAAAAAAGGAAGGAAGGAGGAAGGATTAAAGGAAGGAAGGGAGGGAGGGAAGGAAGGAGGGAGGGAGGAAAATAGCCATCACACTAAGCAAACACTTCCCCACAAAGCTCATATGATTAAAAGTTCCCTTTTAAACTTAAAATCCTCTCATCCCAGACAGAATGGTAAGAGGGAAGAAAAGGTAGGAGAGGAGGGGGAGGAAGGAGAGGAGAAGAAAATGAAGGAGAAAATGCTAGGAAGGATGGAGGGTAAAGGAACCTTATACATTGTTAATGGGGATGAAAATTAGTCCAGTGACTGGGGAAAATGTCATAGTGATTCCTCAAAAACTAAAATTAGAAAGAACCAGGTAGACCACTCCTAGGTATATATCACCCGAAGTTAATATCCACGAAGATACTTGAGCACACGTGTTCATCGTGGTGTTCTTTACAGAGGGACTGAATCACGTCGTATATGAGGTATCCTGTTAAGCAGACTAGGTCACAAGCAGAAACACAAGTATACCATCCACTTCAAAATCATACTAAGATTTTTTGAAAAGCGACTTGAAAGTAGGAGCGGGTTGTAACCCGGGACCAAAAAGGAAACCAGGGTCAGAGGAAAGAGTGGCGGAGGGTAGCCGGGAAATGGATGCAGTCAAAACACAACGTGCATGTGTAGAACTGCGACAGTGAGCTGTGGATAAATACTGCGAATTAACAATTATAATAAAAATAAAATTCCCTTTCAACCATTTTCTTTGATCTTTCTTCCTGTCAACCTTTGTTCCAGGAGAGTATGGCTAGTGCTGTCTAGACGGAGTCTCCAGGGCCACCTCATAGACTGCGATAGAGATGACCCCTAGAAGAAGAACAGGCAAGCAGTGAATTTGGGAGTCGGGAAAGCTGTCTTTCATTCCACTGTATTTTTTTTCTGAATGAAGAAAGGCCCACTGACTTGATTAAAGATGTCAGTCAACATGGTGAAATATTAACCAAGTCAAAAATCTCCTTTCTGAGATTTGTTACATACTGGAAATGCCAATAGACTCCATGAATCCAAAGACTCGATCACTCACGGGAGCAATTAGCCTTCATGAAAGCAATAGAGCAGCCTTCGCAATTGGCTCATTAGTCATCACTTCAGGGGAAATTGATTGTAACAGGAATAAAGATGAAGTGGCCCGAGAGTAGATAACAATAAGAAAACTATAAAGCTGCAATCATTTCGCTACATTTATAGAAAGTCAGATCCAGAAAATTCGATAGACTAATTTTCCTTTAATGTAAACACAAGCATGAAGATATTAGGAAAAGGTCAGTTTGCTTCCAAACAATTAGAGGGACGAGTAGAACAAAGAAAGAATGTAAAAGCAATCACAAACAGGCATGCTTTTAATCATGCCATTAATCAGTGTGTCAGTGAGTTAAATCTCTAATAAAAGACAGTCTCCCGTTGATGTTTTTAATTTTGTGCTGTTCAGCAGCAGACACAAATCAGGCAACAAAAATTTCTGACAATAAATGGCTAAGAAAGATTTTGTAGTTGAAAGTGGAAGAAAAGAGAGATAAAGGAAACAAAGAAATGGGGGAGAGGTGTAAAGAATTAGTATGACTGCAAAACAAAAGCAACAAAAAAACAAACCCAGAGCCTGACAGCAAAGCAGCAAAAACAAGGACAGAGATCACAGGGTGAGTCTGGACTCAGCTGCACACATGGCTGAATTGGAATCTGTAGCCAAGGAGCAAAGTGAGATCAGGGAGCGGAGAATTCCTGAGTGATGCTGATGGGTTAGCGGAGAGCCAAACACGATCCTTGAGTCAAGGTGGCAGGGCCTCCCTGAGGGACGGTGAGACATGAGAGATTTGATCAGATATCAACAGTGGCAGATTCTGGCTAAACTAGCCCGATACATTAGTTACAGTGCAAAAATGAACATGGAAATCCAAACCTTTTAAACTAGCTGGGAAGAGAATTCAGAGAGCAAACCCCTGATGAGAGTTTGACCAAAGGGAGGGTCTGCATCAAGACACAGGGGAAGAAATGAAAAGAAAAATAACAGTTTCAGTAATATTAATGCCAGGCAGAATGTAGTTAAAATAAAAAGCAAAACATTGCGATTTGAATAGAAATGTCCAGTATACATAAAAATGTAGAGACTTTTGAAAGTATAATAAATTAAACTGATTTAAAGACAGGTAAATTTATCATCATAGTGAGAGGCATTAAAATACCTCCCAAGGATTCACCCACTGAGACAGTGTGCCTGAGCTAATAGGAGCTCGCCAACTCCAACTGAACTGGGAATGAACGAGCAAGGGATCAAACTAATCCCTCTGAATGTGGTTGACAGTTGGGGCAGACTGAGGGGCCAATGACAATGGCACTAGGATTTGTCACTACTGCCTGTACTGACTGTTTGGGATCCTATTCTCTTTGGATGCATACCTTGCTCAACCTGGATGCAGTGGGGAGGGCCTTGGACTTCCCACAGGGCAGGATGCCTTGCCCTCTCTTAAGATTGAAGGGGGTTAGGGGAAGGATGTGTGGAGGGAGTGGGAGGGAAGTGGGAGGAAAGGAGGAAGTGGGAATTTGGATTGGTACTTTTTTTTAAAGTAATAAATAATAATAATAATAATAATAAATACCTCCTCAAAAATCAAAACATTAGGCAGGAAAGAATACTGGCGACATGAAAAAGTTTAATAAGCATGAGCTAATAGAAAATTCAAGTCAGAAAATGCTAAATATATATACCCCGAGTAAGAAAGTATCTGCTCTCACAGGATTTAATAAAGCTTAATGAGGTTAAAATATGGAAAATATATCTGGTACATAGTAAAGAGAGGAAAGTGTGGGAAACATTGTTATTTTCAAAATCTAAACAAAACCACCAACACACCAT